CTTGGAATAGCAAGGCCTTTTAGGGGTTTGATGAGGATAAAATAAACCCATGTATATAAAAGTAACTGGAAGAGTGCCTCAGACATGGTAGGTACTCAACTGACTTCAGTCCTCTCACCCTCCTTCCTTGAAAGTTCTAGAAAAGAAAAATTCCATGGAGGAGAAAAATTCACATGAAATTATTAGAATCTCAGTAATAGGCTCAGTAGTAAGCTCATGAAACTTCATGGTATCTAGATGTGAGCTCTTCACAAATTTCACTTTTCCAGTGCATTACCTAAAAGTGTGCTGAGCTAGAAAGTCTTAGACTGGGCCCCTGGAACAGGTGTTAATTTTAAAAAGTATCTTAGGTGCTTTTGATCCCATTTGTTTGGAAATTATTGACCTGGTCTGTGCCCTCATTTTAGAATGAGTCCCAGAGAGATGAAGTGACGTCCCTAAGTCTTGCAGGAAGTTCAGTCAATGATTTGTTCATTCACTCAAGTGATAGCTCATGCCTTGGTATCTGCAAGGAGCTGGTTCCAGGACCCTCAGGATACCAAAATCCACTGATGTTCATCCTCCCGAATACTTTATTTTTAAAAAAATATTTATTTTAGTTGTAGTTGGACACAATACCTTTATTCTATTTATTTATTGTTATGTGGTGCTGAAGATCAAACCCAGGGCCTCACATGTACTAGGCGAGTGCTCTATCGCTGAGACTCAGCCCCAGCCCCATCCTCCCATATACTTTAAATCACACGTAGATGACTTATAATGTAGGATAGAATGCAAATGCTATGTAAGTAATCTCTATACTGTATTGTTTAGGGGAAAATGAGAAGGAAAAATATCTATACATGTTCAATACAGATGCAGAGAATTTTTTCTGAATACTCTTGGTCCGTGGTTGATTGAATCCAAGGATACAAACCTCCGTGGTTGACTGAATCCAAGGATACAAACCCACAGATACAGAAGACTGTGTTTTCTGAACACCTGCTGTGTTCAAGGCACATGTTGAGCTCTGAGGGGGTTCTCGGTGTCTAGCAGGGTTTAGACATCAGACATGGACCAAGGAGCTAGCGTGCACAAATACACTCAGTAACAAATGTCTCCATCTTATGCAGCTGGGGGACCAGACTTAGACTGGGGAATCAGGAAAACTCCTCTTAGGAAGTGACCTTTAGGTGAGATCTGAAGAGCCAGGTAGAGAATGGGCAAAGCTGGGGATAGGCATGGCACTGAGGTCATCGGGTTGTTGACGTGGGCAAGGGGGAAGCACCCTGCTTCAGGCTGCAGAGCCACTAGCTGGCCTTCTGCTTATATCATACCTTTTCTAACTAGTGTCCCCTGGTCTGTCTACAGCAAACGGGCCCCATCAGTGCCACCCTGGTGATGACACGCCCCATCAAAGGGCCCCGAGACATACAGCTGGACTTGGAGATGATCACTGTCAACACCGTCATCAACTTCAGAGGCAGCTCTGTGATCCGACTGCGGATTTATGTGTCACAGTACCCCTTCTGAGCCCAGGGCTGCAGCCTCTGACACTGCCTCTCACCAGCACCAAGGGACAGGGGAAGAGAGGAAACAGGAGAAAGAACGAGAGCGAGCAACGTTGCACCTTTCCTGCTGAACGTTTCCCAGAGGAGTTGGCTCCCCGAGTCCTATTGCAGACCTGTCACTCAGAAGGACATCCCACCCCTCTTCCTATGATGCAGTTATTGAAACGCATTCTCATTGGCCCCCTGATGTGAGGTCACTGGTGATTCTTCAAGGCCTTCCGTTGATTTCCATCTTTTTCAAAGAAACTAGGTTAGGTTGGGGTCTGAGTCTATGTTCGAAGACTGTGAACAGCTTCTCTTCCCTCTTCCGTTCCTTCCTTCCTTCTCTTGCCGCATTGCTGCTTTGCCAAGGGCCTGAGAGAGCTTGTGGGGACGCTGGGTATAGCTAGTTTGCTTTTTGCATGTCCTGAGAAGGCTATGGAAACAAACCACAGCAGGATCTAAGGGCTTTTAAAGAGTCTATTTCAAAACCACGTCTGGTATTTTCAGCCATAAAAGAAGTTTTAGTTGTCCTTAAATTTGTATAACTGTTTAATTCTTTCTTGTTCATTTTGAGTATTTTTTTTTTTAATAAGAGGTAGAATTCCTACAAAAGACCTCAGACACATACTATGTTCTGTCTTCCCAATCCCGGCCTCCTGTCCACATCAGCCAGTGTTGTTTTTATTTTTCTGTTTTGTTTGTTTTGTTTTGTTTTTAAGGACCCCTTAATCATGCTTTCTTTAGAATTTTGACCTAACTGGGTTAGAAGACAGAAGTCTCCAAAATGATTAAATATTTGAAGAGATCTGGTGTTTGGCTCATTTGATACTAAGGATTATTCAGCACTTGGGGTGGGTTCTGTTCTGTTTGCACCTATTTATTGTGTGCTGTGACTGGGGCAAGTTGACAGAAGGAGCCAGTGAAATGGGGGCTGTAGAGAAACTAGGAGCAAGCATCAACCCGAGTCCTGTTTGATGCAATTGAAAAACCACTGACGGTTGCTGTTATGTGGACTCTTTGGGGTACCCTTCCAAAACAGTAATGTACTCAAGTCACTTTAAACTAGTGGCCCTCAACCATGCTACAAAGAAGGATAATGGTGGAACTTTGAAGAAAAACCCAATTCCCTGTGACTCACCCCAGAGAATTTAATGTTGCTGGTCTTAGGTAAGGCACAGGCATCTGAAGATTTTTAAACTCTAATGAATAGTCAGAGTGGAGAATGTATTGTTAGAACCGCTATAAAGTAAAGTGGACAAACGTGGCCCAGGTCCCAGCCACCATCTCTCAGCATCTTTGCAGTTCCTGTAGGATTCATCACGCTTCCCGCGACCAGGAACTCTGGATTTCCCTCAAGCCTTGGAACCCCAGGGCCAGGGCAAAGAGCATCAATAGCAACAGGCACAGGTTGGATAACAGGTTGGGGCAACTGTCTTCATGGCCCATCCCAGGAATGGACTGGAGGCTCCTTGGTAGCCAAGGCTGAGTCTGGATGCTGCCATCCTATGGGTTGGCAGTGTATTCATTACAGGCCTCCACAGTGCCAGAAGCTGAGCTCCAGACCCAGGGCTAGTAGGCAATTCAGGAGTCCATCCCTTAGTCATCAAGTGCTTCAGTGAGGGGAGACAGCAGGTTCAGCTCCTCACAGCAGCTCAGCAGCTGCAGGCCCGCCTTCCTCACCCAGTGTGTCCCCACCCCCACCGCACACCTAAACCTGCCTGTGGTGCTGCTCCAGTCAGGCTCAGCCTAAGGTGATGCTAACAGTAATATTCACACAGATGGTGCCCAAGTTTAGAAGCTTGGAGAAAAGGGACAAATTTCTTTAGACTTTCCAGCACATGGCCTCAGTTGGGCTCTCTGCAGGGCAAAGGCCGGAAGGCACTACTAGCTGGCTGGGGGCACCCCTGTGTGGGGAGACCGAGGTGTTAGCTGGGGTGGAGATGCAGAGGCTTCTGGGAGCTCTGCAGCCAGAGAGCATCTCCACGTGGCCCAGGGGTTGGTTCCTGTCCCTTCTGACAAAGAAGGCCAGAAAGATTTGTCTTGGTGGTTTGAGGAACCCATTGGTTTCTGAGGTGCCACATTTGGAACCAGACCCATGTCCCTAGGGCTTGCATTTTTACTCGTTAACGTTCAAATGTGGCTTCTTACTTCTAAGAAAAAGGACACAGAGAGCCTTCCTGAAGCAGGCTTGGAAGGCTTCTTGGACCTCAGATTGCTCTTTCAAAACACCAGCGGGTGAGTTCAGTGTAAATGAATCAGAAGCTTGTGGGATCAATTTACCTTAAAATACACTTGGGCCTAAAAATTAAGGAAGAACAGCCTGGGGCAAAGTGTGTACTGTGAGCCCAAACCCCAAACATTCAGGAAACAGTTCCAGAGGCTCCCAGAACCCAAAATGCTATTCCCTTTCACCCACCCCTTGAGGTGGGTCAGATGTGATTTTATTTTTTATTTTTGCAAGATTGTAGATTGCTGCTCTGACTCCTATGCTTTAAACTAGTGGGCTGGCTATTTCCAGGACCTGTAGATATCTGGACTACCCGTGCCTGTCGCTTGTCAGTGTTGCCCTACCCAGGAGCTGAGCCAGACCTTGTCAAGAGAAACCTGGTCTGTTATGTTCCATCAGGGCCTGAAGGATGTTGGGGCCTGTTGCGGAAGGGGCTCTGGATTAAAAACTGGGACACCTGCAAAAGTCCTTGTGTTACCACCTAATCTTCTGAGTTCCACATGGATGAGAACTTCCATTCACTCGCTTCTGATTCTAAAGTTTTGTGATTCCTTGAAATGTACTTGAGGGATAACAGCCAGCATTTCCATTAAACCACAATTTTAGAGTTTCAGAGCCATGTGCCAATCATAACACTTTCTAATTGGCGCAAAATCCACCTACCTGTTGCCTCTCAGACTTGGGTAATGCACTTAGAAATTTTCTTAGGTAACAGTCTTGGCCCTTGGGTGTTGTTTGTCCAGATGGTGAAAAATTTAAATAGGTCCAATTACTTCATTTTCAGTGGTTTGAATATACTTTGTGGCCTGAGTGTTAACTGTAATGTGCACAAATTGTTCAACCTGAGCCAAGAAGTTCACCCAGAGAGAGATGGCATGACAAAGGAGTGACTATTCTCTACTCCTCTCTTGCCAGATGAAATCCTGTTTGCAAAAAAAAAAAAAAAAAAAGTCTTTGTCTTAAGGGGCTAAGAGCTTTGGTTGAGAATCTTCAGTTGAGACATTGCTAGATTCAGAGAGGTGAACAAAGTCCACCAATAATAGCACATTTATCCAAAGGTTCATGCAGCATCCCAGAAAAACTGGAATACAACATAGTTATTTTAGTTAATAGTGATCAAGACATAACCGTGTTATACAACCAAAATTTTCATGAATATTCATAGACATATGTTGACATTCAGAGTAAGATACCTCCACTTAGAACTAGTAAATAAATTTAAAGGAAACACAAAACAAATATCAGGTTAAATTTTTCTTTATTTTTGGATATGGTTTGTACATAAGTCATTTTTTTTAGGGGCAAAAAGTGAAACATTTAGTGAAGTTCTTCATTATTTTGCAGTTGGAGCTGGTGCTCATCAACTACAAACAAATATACAGATTGTTCCTGGTGTTGATATTTTTGTGCTCCAGTCCCTTATTCCCTTTACTTAACAGATGGCTGATATCTTCATTAGAATCCCTGAGGGGAACTAAAAGATGAGGTTTTAAAAAAATAACCAAGAGGCTCCAGAGCAAAATGTGTAGAGGCAAGATTTGTTACTTTCTTGAGACGACAGCCTCCAGCGAGACTCTCCAACTTGCTAATTGTTCCGAATAATGAATCTTAGCCAGCAGCCATCAGGAAAATGAACTATAAAAGTGAGATGATAAGTGTCGGAAGAAGAATTAAGATCTGTTGATGATATGTTAAGTTGCCACATTGGTATCTTTTCATTGAAGGGAATTACGTGTTAATGGGCAGTGGTCAGCAGCACTATTTTAAGAAATTTGGAATATTATTGACCAATATCCTAAAAATGAAGGCGGGCTAGATTGTACCCAGATGTGACCATCAAGATCACTATGATACCAATTTATTAAGATCAGATGAATTATCAATATTGGTTTAGAGCCAGAGAGCCACTGGATAGCTTGGTTCCACTTTTATTTGGGGAGAATTGCATTGGCTTCAACACAACTGCGGCGACACGCGACTAAATCATTCAGGGTCACTCCAGGTGCATTTGGGTTGGCCTGAAATAATCACACACAGACAGAAAGTACCTTTTTCTTAGGGTCCAGTGATGGCTCCTCAGCCCCAGTTCCCACAAGGGAAGAAAGAGAGACAGACAAGAGAGGACACACACCAGAAACCATCCTATTTACCGAGGGGAAGTCACTGGAGAAATTTCCACCCAAATGAGGCAAGGGGTCGGGTTTCAGGGGGTTGAGTCTAGGTTCGTGATGTCTTGTGGTCCGCAGATTGACTGACATCTTGGCAAGTCACACCCATCTCAGGTGCTGTGGGATCAAAGGAGTGAAAAGGACACGGATGTGTTCAGCCGAGACAGAGCAGCAACGGCAGTCCAGTCTGCACATGCGCTCAGAATGCTCACAGCTCACACACAGCCCATGGAGGGCCCACTACACAGAACCCTTTTCCTAATTCTTACTTTCCATGAATTTAATGTTGCAAAACTGGCTTATATCACACATAGCTACTGTGCTTCAAAATAGATGCCTTGAGGCCTCCCAGTTTTAATGTACAAACCATTAATAATTAAAAGGGAAGCATGGGTTGTTATTATCCTATTTGTGAATGTTCTCCATTCTCTGCTCTTACAATTTTTACCAAAAAAAAGTGGTGGTGGGGGCAAGCTACAGTATTTGCAAATATCTTAGCTCTTTACAGTGATGCTAATGTCATGCTTTTGTTTTGTCCTGTCTAGTTTTGTTCTAGTTCCCCCTTTAAAAAGTCCTCATGGAGATTTCTGTCCCAAGGCTGGCGTTTCCACTTAGCATCTTCCCGGTCTTTCAAAGAAGCAATCCGATAGGCCGATAGCATGGCTTCAAGGGCAAAGGCATTAGCAAATCATAAGCTACTTCTTTCAGTAAAACCATTACCAAACGGGCTGGGGATGTGGCTCAAGCGCCACATGCGTGCGCCTGGCATGCCTGCGGCCCAGGTTCGATCCTCAGCACCACATACAAAAAAAGATGTTGTGTCCGCCGAAAACTAAAAAAATAAGTAAATAAGTATTAAAATTTTCTCTCTCTCTTAAAAAAATAATTGCCAATCAAGGGGAACCTTCCAGCTCAGAATTCATGCATACTTGGGGAGAGCTAGACCCCCCACCTTGTTTCCTGCTTTTTCTTCCTGTTGGAACTTCAGAATGTATTATTTTTTAGGGCCTTCAGGACTATTTTTAAAAATTCCCTGACATCATTGTTAGAGGAGCAAAGCGCTCACAGGTGTAGGTACTTCAAGAATTTGGGGCCAGTAAAGTCACCAAAAAGGAGCCAGTCACCTCTCTAGGAGCAACTACAAGAACAGGGCAGTTCTCAGAGAGGACAGGAAGTCACTTGTTCCACAAATACTGAGCCTGTTCTTTACACTGACTCCCTTCAGAGCTCTGCTTCTCTCTAGGGAAATGACCTCAAGAGTGTTCTAATTTTTTTTTTTTTTTTTTGCCAGATTTCCCTCAGCCCCATGCTCCTGCTTTTTTGGTCCTTCAACAAGCTGAGGGAGGCTGGGGCAAGAGAGAAGAGGATGGAGCGGGGGCTGGTTCCCTTCCCCGTGAGATTACGCAGGAAATCCAGCTTTACTTCTGAGTAAGGGCACAAAGGGGAGTCCTTCGCCCCCCTCCTTCCCTCCTCACATGTCTTCTTTCCTTTGGGCACCAACCCACCTCCCCAGATCCCACCTGATCTCCCTCCTGACGGTGGACAGAGGTAGTCAAGGGCAGGTCCTGTTTATCCAGAGCAAAGCTGGGTACAAGGGACAAAGTGCACAGCTTTTTCTCCTCTTCTCCCTCCAGCTCCTCCTTTCTTTTTCAAGCACATAGAACTAGTCCCCAGAACACCCCCTCCAGAGCAAGACCGTGGATTCTTTTCTCTTGTTCTCCTCCTGTTACCCCTGCTCAAAAGGGGAGACTCCTTATCCAACTGTGTGAATGTGGGTCTTCAAGAGCAGGTGGCCATTCCTCACCAGGGAGTGTTCCGTCTCTGCATCCCAGGGAGACCGCCTTCATCCCAACACCCCTGTCCAAGAGCCAAGGACTCTTTCCAGAAACGCATTCCTTTATCTTAGCAGCTTTGTCCCCAGTGCATGGTGCTGCCTGGTGGCTTGATGTGCTGCCTGGTGGCTTGATGTGGTCCCTGTATCTTCATGTAGAAGCTGGGAAAAACTGGAGTTCGTTAAATATAGACAGTGCACAGTTTCCAAAGGTCAGGTCTCTTTGCCAATAGCAAATAAGCTTTAACTTTCTTTGTGAAACATAGTCTGGCACTCTCCACAGATTACAGAATTATTCATCTAAAAGATTTCCAAATGTTAGCACATTCCAAATGCTAGTGATTTCACGGGCAGCAGATCAACCTGCGTCTCTGCAACCCTCTGAGTCCATTTTCTGCTGCTATCACAAAATGCCTAAGACTAATAGTTTATATGGAAGGAAGTTGATTTTGCCTTTTGGTTCTGGAGGTGGGGAAGCCCACGGACCAGGCCCCAGCATCGGGGTAGGGGCCTCATGCTATGTTATAACGTGGCAGAAAATCTGAAGGACAAGAAACACCTTGTCCTTTTCAAAAAAGATAAACACCAGGGCAGTCTTGCTTTATAACAACCCACTCCTGCGGGAATCCATACCCTGAGAACCATGTTCATCTCTTTATGAAGGCAAAGTCTCCATTAACAGAACGCCTTGGACAGCTCATGGCTTTTTTACACTGTTACTCTTGGGACCAAATTCCATGAGTTTAGGAGCAAACTATATCCAAACCATACCAACCATCTCCACCCATACACCATTTTTTCACAGTGCGGTTGACATTTGGCTGTGACTTAAAGCATGACTTCCTCAAACATAGGAGTAAGGAAGGACACTTGGGAGACCAACATGGTTGGGAACCAAGGATACAGAGGTGCGTACGTGGCAGGGAGTGATGTTAGTGGAGGCCATATTATTTATGGCTCTATTCACCTAACCAAGTTTGAACTTTATCATGGAAGCCAGAATTTCACCAAAGACTAGTAAGGAGTGAAGGATTCAGGAGCCCAGGGACACACGGAGGAGAGCCGAAGACCTCAGGGAGGAGTTTTGCTAGTGAGGGAAGAAGAATTTTTTTCTTTAAACTTTTTTTTTTCTTAATTTTCATTTTTTTGTTGAGCTAACACTTACATCTAAGTGTTACCTCAATTACACAGTTTGGACAAAGAAAAATAAAACTATGCTAAAGTCAAGATGACTGTAAGACCCCCAGTCCAGGGCATTCGATGATGGTCAGCAGTATGTACTGAAGGAGAGAGGCTGAGTTACACAGGAGTGGGGAAATGTGGAAGCCCTGGGCCTCAGGAGATGGCTGAGGGCAGAGGTCCAGGCTGCCCGCCTCTGCATGCTTGGACATCTGGAGCCCTCTTACTGATCACCTGAGTGTTTTCTTCTACCTTTGGCTGTTTTCTGTGTGTGTGTGTGTGGGGGGGGGGGGTCTAGGCTATCTTACTTTTTGTTGTCTGTTTAGTATGTGGGCCTGTTAAAGAGTGCCCAGGCTGTGGGAGGGACACAGAATGAGGCCGTCACAGTCAGTAGGACCTCTTCTTTGATCTACTAGACTGAACACACAAAAGCAGAGTTCCTTCCTCCCCTAGCAGCCAGTCTGTCCATCACTTCCTGAGTGAGTGACGTGGCTCCTGTCCCCAGTGATTGTGGTCACCACGTACCACACATGAGGAAAGAATCCTGAGATAAACAAAAATGACTCATAGCCTCATATGAAAACTGAAAATTGCAGTAACCAGGCTGTGACTTCACTCCTTGAAGCAGCAGTCATTTGATAATTAACCCATTAGGCAAATAAATGCTCTCCACTGGAGCTTAGCATTCATTTCTCCCCAAAGTATTTAATTAAATACATCAGAAAAACTCTCTTGGCCAGAGGAATTGTGGTGATGTGATGGAAAGGAAGAACTTCATCTGAAAGTTTAGAAATCCGTGGCTCTGTTTCTAGTTCTCTCTGCTCTGTGACCCAGGACAAGTCACTTGGTCTCTCTGAGCCTCAGACCTTTCCTTTGCAACCTGCAGAAAGTGTTAACTCTGAATCCTGTATTCATTCATTCATTTGACTCCTCAGCAAATATTGTTCAAAATTCTACTCTGTTCCAGGCACTGACCTGATTAAAAATCCCAGCTCTAACAATTCTTTCCTTGGGTCCCAGATCAGAAAGCCATCACTCAATCCAAAAAAATATGCCTGCGTTGTTTATGCCACAGGATGGGGCAGGGCTGAGCACCACTCAGGGTGTCATGGGAGCTGTGTTCTGGTTCAGTTGACTGTCATAATGTACCAAACTGGTGAGGTGGAAAGGACACTAGGATTAGAGTCAAACAGTCCTGGATTTGGGTCCCGACTTTGTCAATTACTAGCTTGTGACCTGGAGTGATTCCTTGGGTTTTCTGAGTGTCGCTTTTCTTCTCTGTTGGTGGGGATAACAGTACTCACCTCCTCCAATTGTTTTGAGAAGTGAGTGGAAGTCTGTGGTGCTTTCCTTCCCCACCTCCTAGAAAGCTGCAGTTGCCCCAGGCCTTCCTTCACCTGGAAACTTCCATATACCCAAGCCATTCCCCAGCCTCCGCCCAGTCACTCAGCAGTTCCTGGAACGTGGAGGACCACAGTGGCCCACCTCCTTTGGTATACTCTCTGCACTTCCCTTATTGTATTTTTATTCCATTTCAAGTTGACGTCAGCTCCTTTTTATCTCTTCTTTTTTTTTTCTGGTACTAAGGATTGAATCTAGGGGTACTCTTCCACTGAGCTGCATCCTCAGCCCTTTTTGTTTTTAGAGACAGGGTCTTGTTGAGGTTCCCAGGCTGGCCTTGAACTTGTGATCCTCTTGCCTCAGCCTCCCAAGTTACTGGGATCATTGGCATGTGCTCCAGGCCTGGCTTTACCTCTACTTTCTACACCTGGGGTGTGGTTTCTAACGACATCTGCATTCTTGCAATACACAATGAGTAACCAGGGAGGTAGTTTTGTCAAATCTTATTGATAATTCCTAAGAGTATAAAATTATAGAACATAACAGCTGAAAGGATCTAGACTTTGTGTCACAAGGTCCAGTGCCATGTGTACAATGAGGACTCTTAGGTTGGGTGGGCGATGGACCCTCTCCAGGTGACATGTTAGTTACTGGTAGATTGACAGGTAGGTCTCTGGATCTTGCTCTTAGTCTAGCTCTTTTCTCTTGAACTTCAGAATCTTTCCAGTCTAAAGCCATCTTAGCTGCTTGTATGTCAAGGGATCTGAAAACAATTTGCTTAAGCCATAGAGGTTTTCTTGCTCCTTGGTGTTAAAGGACATTCATGAATTTAGGCCACTTTTGTGGCCTTTTATAAGAATTCAGCGAGATAAACTCTGGTGCCCTGAGGGAGAGTAGAAACCACAAAAAAAGCCAGAAGTAAGTGCAAATCAAATTAGAGTCTAGACCGAGGGTAAATCATTGGCGAAGGATGGAAAGACCTCAGAAGCTTGGTGCAAGTATAAGGAACTGTGAGGCAGAGAGGGTCCCCTGTGCCACTCTGGGCTTTAAAGTTAATTAGATCATAAGAAGCAGAACATGGGCAGCTCTGGTGGGCAGTGGAGGCCATTATTGGAGAGAGCACATGCACATCTCTTTCTCTGCCATTTCTTTTCTTGCTTTCCCAAACTCATCTTGAGCACTTTTCTTTCTTTTAAATTTTTTTAGTTGAAATGGACACGATTTATTTTATTTTATTTGTTTATTTATGTGGTGCTGAGGATGGAACCTAGTGACTCACACGTGGTAGGCAAGTGCTTTACCACTGAGCTACAGCCCCAGCCCCTCATCTTGAGCACTTTTCATACCAGGTTTGTGCTGGATCTTTCACCTTGACCCTTAAAAAGCTGGTGCTTTTTTCTCCTTAGTCCCCTTTCAAAAACTCACCTGTCTGTCTTACTCATCTCCTCACCTTTTGTCCTTTCCTCTCCTTCACCCCTCTGTCTCCCCCTCTCTCCTGCCTTTTGCTTGTAGCCCAGAAGTCAGCTGGGGTCCCCAGGCCTTGAGATCCAGATAATGTTGCCTTGAACTCCCCCTCTCATGCCCTGAGGAATTCCAAAGATCTTCCACATTTCCAAAATCTCTCTTTGGAAGTGAAGGAGACTTTTATCTCCATGGTCACCTCTGATGCTCAATTCTGAGCTGCTCTGGAATTCTTTGGGGTTATAGGAACTTTCACTCCCATTCCCAAGAGTTCCTTGACAGTGGAACCTGATGTGAAGCAGTCTCTTGTTGGGTTTCCACAAAACTGAAATGAAACAACATTGCAGTAGATCCAATAATGTCCTCCCCAAATTCATGTCCACCTGGAACATTGGAATATCCTCTTACTTGAAAATGGGGTCTTTGCATGTGTGATTAGTCAAGTTAAGATGAGCCTAAACTTGAGCAGGGTAAGCGATGTGTCCAACAAGTCATGTCTTTACAAGAAGAGAGAGGACACGCACAAATGCCCAAGGGGAAGTCAGCCACGAGAAGATGCAGGCAGAGTTGGGGTGATGTAGCCACAACCAAGAGCCCCAGGTGTTTCTGGGAACCACCCACCTAAAGCCAGGACAAGACAAGGAAGGATTTCTGCATGGAACCTTTGGAGGAAGCATGACCCTGCTAGAGGTTCTAGAAGACCATCCTTAGCTTTTCTTCTTAAAAATCTTTGTTCTGTTGGTTTGGTCTTTTCCACCTTTGAATGAAAAATCTCTCATGTTCTACTTCCTCCTCCATCTGCTCTGTACTTCCTCTCCTCCCTGTCTGTCTGTTCATGCAGAGCTTTTAAAAGCTTTGCCATATTTATTCTCTATTTTTTTAATGCATGCACATTTTTAAGACTTATGGAACAGTATTTTTCTTTCCAATTTTTTATAATAAATAAGGAAAATAAAGCCCAGAGGTAAATTAAGTTGTCCAAGATC